GACTTGTCTCTCCGGGTTACCAAGGAGACGGCCCGTGCCATCGGTCGCTCCATGTCGGCCCTGGTGACCACGGAGAGACATCTGTGGCTCAACCTGTCGGGCATGAAGGAGAAGGATAGGACCTTCCTTCTTGATGCACCCGTTTCAGCCTCAGGTCTATTTGGTGAGGCTGTTAGCACGGTGGTGGACAGGTTTGAGGATGCTAAGAAGCAGGGCGAAGCCTTCAAGCGATATCTCCCTCGCCGTTCTAGGTCTAGGAGGGCTGCTGTGAGAGAACAGCCACAGCAATCCTCCTCTTCCTCTTACCGCCAGGCACAGAAGGCGAGTGTCGCTTCCAGAGCTCCCCCTCGTAGAGCTTGGGACTCTGGTCGACGCTCACACCCTCAGCCTCCTGATAAGACGGATCTGAGGACCGTCATCCAGTATAGGAAGGCTAAGGGGAAGAGGTCCTAACTCCTTTGAGGCCTCAGAGGGCCGCCCCCCCCCGAGAGAGAGCGACCGAGGTCCCCTCTCTCGTTGGGCCCTCAGGGAGTTGGCGTCAGTATCCCGCCGTCTCTGACGCTTCGGGACACGCTAGCTCCCAGCGAGCTCACACTGGTTGGCCTGCCCCAAAGGCTTGCAGGCGGTCAGTGTTCGGGTTCGCACAATGTAGGGCGTTGTCGGTTTTTCCCTGCCGGTCCTCCGCTTCAGGGCACCGTCAACATCCTGCACAAAACACTGGACACCAGCCCCGAGGGGCTGGTTCCTTTGGTGAATTTCGCAGAGGCATGGCAAAACCTCGCGAACATTTCTCCATGGGTCCTGCGCACTGTAAGAACTGGGTACAGACTGCAGTTCCAGGTCCGCCCACCAAAATTCAACGGGGTGGTCTGGACTTCAGTGCACCCAGAGCAGGGTCTAGTGTTGGAACAGGAAGTTCACTCACTGCTGGAAAAAGGGGCCATAGAGCATGTTCCCCCACCAGTCAGGGAGTCCGGGTTCTACAGCCGGTACTTCATAGTTCCCAAGAAGGATGGAGGGTTGCGTCCAATTTTAGATCTAAGGCACTTGAACCGGTCTCTGAGGAGATTCAGGTTCAAGATGCTTACCATTCCCATCATCGTGAGTCAAATCCAATCCGAGGATTGGTTTGTCACGATAGATCTAAAAGACGCTTATTTTCACATCTCCATTCTTCCATCTCACAGGAAGTTCCTGAGGTTTGCTTTCGGGGGCAAAGCTTACCAATATCGGGTTCTTCCATTTGGCCTGGCACTCTCCCCTCGCACTTTTACCAAGTGTATGGATGCAGCTCTAGCACCCCTGAGGCTCGAGGGCATCAGGGTGCTCAATTACATCGACGACTGGCTGATACTGGCGCAGTCGCGAGAGCTGGCGATTCGGCATCGAGATGTCGTCCTCGCCCACATCCAAAGCCTGGGGCTGAGACTCAACACAAAGAAAAGTGTGTTGGCACCAGCCCAGAGAACCCTGTTCCTGGGAGTGGTGTGGGACTCAGTCACGATGCGGGCACGACTGTCTCCTGCTCGGATCGAGTCCGTCCTGACTTCAGTGTCCAGGATAAAGCTAGGCCAAGCCATCACTGTCAAACACTTTCAGAGAGTGTTGGGTCTCATGGCAGCGGCGTCCAGCGTCATACCTTCTGGCCTGCTACACATGAGAGCTCTACAGTGGTGGTTAAGAGCCAAGGGGTTTTCCCCGAGGGGAAGTCCGTTCCGCTTGATAAGGGTTTCGCGCAGATGCCTTCGTTCCCTATCAATTTGGAAGAAGCCTTGGTTCTTGTCCCAGGGTCCCAGGCTGGGAGCGTCGTGTCACCGGATATCTATTTCGACAGACGCCTCCCTCACTGGCTGGGGCGCGGTCATGGACGGCCGTTTTACGAGAGGTCTTTGGCAGGACCAACATTCCTCTTGGCACATAAATTGCCTAGAAATGTTGGCGGTGTTCCGGGCTCTGAGGAGCTTTCTGCCAGACCTCCATGGTCGCCATGTCCTGGTAAGATCCGACAACATGTCGGTGGTATCTTACTTGAATCATCAGGGGGGTCTGAGGTCGCGCCCTCTGTGCAGACTGGCGCATCAGATCCTCCTGTGGTCCCAGCGGAGACTGTTGTCTCTCAGGGCGATGTATGTCCCGGGGGACCAGAATCAGGGAGCAGACATGCTGTCGAGGCAGGGGCTGAGGCCCGGGGAATGGAGACTCCACCCCGAGGTGGTGGAGTTAATATGCGAGAGGTTTGGCCCAGTGGAAGTGGACCTATTTGCGTCTCGAGAGACGACACACTGTCCACTGTGGTTCTCCCTCACACATCCAGCCCCGCTGGGGTTGGATGCCATTGTGCAGACGTGGCCGAGGCTGCGTCTGTACGCCTTTCCCCCAATCGCTCTGCTCCCAGCAGTTCTGGAGAGGGTCCGTCAGGACGGAGTCAGCCTACTATTAGTAGCCCCGTTTTGGCCGGCCCGAGTATGGTTCTCGGACATCATCTTGCTTCTGGCAGGCCCGCCATGGCAGATCCCTCTGAGGAGGGACCTGTTGTCTCAGGCGGGGGGCTCAGTTCTCCACCCTCGGCCCGAGCTGTGGAAACTGTGGGTCTGGCCCCTGAGGGGGCACAGTACCTAGAAGCCGGCCTGTCAGCAGAAGTAGTTGAGACTATACTAACTTCCAGAGCTCCCTCCACGAGGAAATTATACGGCCTTAAGTGGAATGTTTTTTCCATTTGGTGCAGAGAGCGTGATTTGGACCCAGTTAACTGCCCAGTGGCTTCAGTACTGGAGTTTCTCCAAGACCGCTTTTCTGCCGGGCTTACCCCGTCCACACTCAAGGTTTATGTGGCTGCCGTTGCGGCTTTCCACGCTCCTCTGGGTGATGGTCCTCTGGGGAGGCATCACCTGGTCGTACGCTTCCTCCGTGGAACCTGGAGGATGAGACCTGCGACTCGCACCAGGGTTCCCTCTTGGGACCTGGCAGTGGTGCTCGAAGGGCTGGCCGAGGCCCCCTTCGAACCATTGGAGTCGGCTGAGGCCAAGAACCTGACCTTCAAGGTGGTCTTTTTGTTGGCTATTACTTCTCTGAGGAGGGTAGGAGATCTCCAGGCGCTCTCTATTTCCAATGAGTGCTTGGAGTTTGCTCCCGGCAACATTAAGGCCATCCTTCACCCCAGGCCTGGCTATTTGCCCAAGGTGCCATCTAATGTGGCACGGCCTTTGGTTCTGCAGGCATTTCATCCTCCGCCTCATGTGACGGCGGATGAGGAGAGACTTCATCTACTCTGCCCTGTCAGAGCACTTCAGTATTACATCCAGAAGTCCTCCTCATGGCGGAAGTCGGACCAGTTGCTGGTGTGTTTTGGGTCTCCCAAGAAGGGGCTTCCCGCCTCTAAGCAGACCATCAGCAACTGGATCGTTCAGACTATTTCCCTGGCCTATCAGGTGCGCAATTTGCCTTCACCTATGGCCGTGAGGGCTCACTCCACCAGAGGCATGGCGTCCTCTAGAGCCCTTCTTTCAGGGGTTTCCATACATGACATATGTGAGGCGGCTGGCTGGGCCACTCCGCACACATTCATGAGGTTTTACAGTCTGGACCTTCCCTCTACACCCGGTGCACGAGTGCTTTCGTCCTAAGTTGTGCCTGAAGTCAGTTCACACTAGGATGAGCAGGGTTCGTTGTGGTATAGTGGGTATCTCGTTCCCCTAGTGTCGTCACCGACGCAGTTCGAGTTCCCTCGAAAGGGAACGTCTCGGGTTACGTATGTAACCCTTGTTCCCTGAGAAAGGGAACGAGACACTGCGTCGGTTCGCCACACCTCACCCTGCTTGGAGCACTTGCTTCATAGCAAAGAGCTTACCTTGCTTGTGCCGGTGTGCCTTTGTACACATCCGTGTATGCCGTCACTCGCTACGTCATCACGCAACGCCAATAGGATTGGATTCGGTTTCATTCATAAATTCAGACGCGCTACGCTGAAGGGCGTTCCCCTAGTGTCGTCACCGACGCAGTGTCTCGTTCCCTTTCTCAGGGAACAAGGGTTACATACGTAACCCGAGACGTTTTTCTACTAAAATGAATCCTTTTTTTTATTGCTCACATTAAAATGATCCACTTGGCGGGTTTTGCTATTACCTCTGAAATCAAGTATTCCTGCTATTTCTATGTGAGGCTCCGGGTCGGATTTACCGTGAAATCCAGTGCCGTGACTGAGACCTGCATTCGGCTCCCGAGCCTCTTGCCTCGTCTACTGACACTGCAACTTATGACATGGAGTCTGTTAACACTAAGAAACGCCCTGCTCCCAGCACAACACAGACTCCAACACAAACTCCACATAATGATAAAAAAAAAAAAAAAGTTGAAGCACTCGCTTGTAAACATATTGGTTGCAATCTGAAACATCACCGCTAGAGGCCGCTGAAAACTACATATAGCCCCTTTAATTTCATTGAGCATGCGAGCAGCACCTTAAGAACACAATTAAAGGAGAAATTGATAATTATAAGAAACAAATGTTGATTGTTTTTCATTGTGATGCAGTGACATAATTTCACAAATTGGTCCCTTTTTTAAAAACCCACATTTTGTTTTTGAAGCTACTTTATGTACACAAAAAAAATACATTAAATTTACAGTAAAAATTGCCAACTGTGATTGCCAGAAATTCCCTTTAAAAAATACTGTCACAATGGGTCTAATTTAAGAAGCATGCGTACAAAAATGTTTTCATGAACAAATCATGATTCACCAATAACTTTTGTATTAAAATAAAAATTTTACTAAAATGTAGGATCAACTGAAACCACAAGTATGCAAGAATACTCAGTGTGGCCTTATACTCGTGTTAAGATGAAACTGTATACATACAATAGGAAAGTTTTGAACAATGTTCAGGTTTAGACTTCAGGGCAAAGACTTCTCGCAACAGCTGCAATCTTTCTTATTTTATTGAATATTCATTCATTCATTTTAATAAATACGCATATATTGATGTGCATTCTTTCATACAGCCTCTCACAAGACCGCTTTCAATTTTGAGTGTCTGCGCAAACAGAACAGTCAAGATGAGATTCCCCTGCATCCCACAGGTCTACCGCCACAGCATCAGGTGATCATCGCATAACCAGACATGACATTACTGCTGTCCAATATCATATCATATACCATAGCATAGCATATCATATCATATCATATCATATATCATAGCATAGCATAGCATATCATAGCATATAGCATATCATATCATAGTATGGCATAGCATAGCATAATATATATATCATATCATATCACATACGGACCGTCTCAAGCATCAGTTGCACCGCCCCACTATCACCAATATAATAGATTAAGAACAATGTGTCTGAAGGATGACAGGTGACATTACAGTTTTTACATTCGCTGAGACTCATTTCTCAATACTTTGGTCACTTTTTTAAATCTTTTCACACAGTGAACACAACAGCCGTCTGTGTGAGGATCATTTATCACTGCTTTGGCACAAAATGTATTCAGTGATATTGTTCAAATTATATGGTTTTCTCACTCAAACACAAACAAAACTCACATCTACGAATTTACACATTTACATACTTTGGTAACACTTAACAATAAGGTTCATTAGTTAACATGAACTAATAATTAACTGCACTTCTACAGCATTTATAAATCTTTGATTAATGCTAATTTTAACATTTACTAATACATTATTAAAATCAAAGGTTGTATTTGTTAACATTAGTTAATGCACTGTGAACTAACATTAACAAACAATGAACAGCTGTAATTGTATTAACTAACATTAACAAATACAGTACCAAATGTATTGCTCATGGTAAGTTTATGTTAATTAATACATTAACTAATGAACCTTATTGTAAAGTGTTACCCATACTTTTTTTCAAAACAGATGTGTGTAAAGTGTTGATATTGTAAGGTTGCTCTCAAGTGTCGGTCACCCAACATCTCACAGCAGCTTAATTAATTATTTATTTATTATTTATTTATTTAATCTTTATCCTCGTGGTTCCACAGGTGAAGACGGCGACCGGACAAGAATCGAGTCGAGCGCGACTCTCTCCGACCCGCTCCATCCGCTCGTGGGTCACGCCCCCGGCCACGCCCCCTCCCTACACACCCCTGGCTCAGGCCACGCCCAGCGCCAGCAGCACTCCCGGATTGGTTCACAGGGGCTTCTGGAATTCCCAGCACGGCTCTGATTGGTCCACGCGTCCCCCCACCCCCTCCCTCTTGAAGGTTCCCCCCCGGTTGAGTGGCCATCACCTGCAGCAGCGCAGCAGCGCTCACAGCCTGGTGGAAGCGGTGAGAGACCACATTACACGGGGGTTTGGTCCTGTTTGTCTTAAAGGAGTAGTTCACTTTAAAATGAAAATTAGCCCATGATTTACTCACCCTCAAGTCATCATAGGTGTATATGACTTTCTTCTTTCAGACGAATACAATCGGAGTTATATTCAAAAATATTCTGGCTCTTCCAAACTTTATAATGGCAGTGAATTACGACCAACAGTTTGAAGCTCAAAACAGTGCATCTCTCCATCATAGAAGTGCATCTCTCCATCATAAAAGTGCATCTATCCATGATAAAAGTGCATCTCTCCATCATAAAAGTGCATCTCTCCATCATAAAAGTGCATCTATCCATGATAAAACTGCATCTCTCCATCATAAAAGTGCATCTATCCATGATAAAAGTGCATCTATCATGATAAAAGTGCATCTATCATGATAAAAGTGCATCTATCATGATAAAAGTGCATTTATCCATCATAAAAGTGCATCTATCATCATAAAAGTGCATCTATCCATCATAAAAGTGCATCTATCATCATTAAAGTGCATCTATCATCATAAAAGTGCATCTATCATCATAAAAGTGCATCTATCCATCATAAAAGTGCATCTATCCATGATAAAAGTGCATTTAAAGTGCACTTTTTATCCATCATAAAAATGCATCTATCATCATAAAAGTGCATCTATCCATCATAAAAGTGCATCTATCATCATAAAAGTGCATCTATACATGATAAAAGTGCATCTATCATCATTAAAGTGCATCTATCATGATAAAAGTGCATTTATCCATCATAAAAATGCATCTATCATCATAAAAGTGCATCTGTCCATCATAAAAGTGCACCTATCCATCAAAAAAGTGCATCTATCCATGATAAAAGTGCATCTATCCATCATAAAAGTGCATCTATCATCATAAAAGTGCATCTGTCCATCATAAAAGTGCATCTATCCATCATAAAAGTGCACCTATCCATCAAAAAAGTGCATCTATCCATCAAAAAAGTGCATCTATCCATGATAAAAGTGCATCTATCATCATAAAAGTGCATCTATCCATCATAAAAGTGCATCTATCCATCAAAAAAGTGCATCTATCCATGATAAAAGTGCATCTATCATCATAAAAGTGCATCTATCCATCATAAAAGTGCATCTGTCCATCATAAAAGTGCATCTATCCATGATAAAAGTGCATCTATCATCATAAAAGTGCATCTATCATCATAAAAGTGCATCTATCCATCATAAAAGTGCATCTGTCCATCATAAAAGTGCATCTATCCATGATGAAAGTGCTCCACACACCTTAATAAAGGCCTTCTGAAGCGAAGCAATGCGTTTGTGTAAGAAAAATATTCATATTTAACATGTTACATAGTATAATTCTAGCTTCCGGCCAAACGAACATACGCAAAGCACAACTTACGCAACTCATGCCGTCAGAAGTAGCGTAGTGCGTCATGGCGTAAATATCAGCAGTGCGTCGCATTACTCGCAGAAGTTGCGCTTAGACTTTTGTCAAGTCCCGTATGTTCGTTTGGCCGGAAACTAGTTATAATGTCTTATAGACATTCTGAATATAACTACACTGACAGAAAACGAAGGTTGAAATTATGCCTCTTATGTTAGAAATCACCCTTTTAGGACATATAGGAGCAAATACATTAATATTGGGCTATACATCATATATATGAGTCTGTAAAACATTGACATACTGTATATCTTTTACACTATATCATACAGCTCTAGACTGGACTGCAAGTAAAACTTGCCTCCATTGTTGAATTTTAAATGGAAGGACTTTATGGACTTAATATCCATTTATAGGTATTATTTTGTCTGTTGCTTGTTTTGCTGATTGTGATTAGTTTTTCTTATTTTTCATTTCATGATCCTGTGTAGATCTTGGGCTTTGTATGTAGTGATAAGTGACTTACTCATCTCATAACTTGACGCGCTGACATGATACCCTTTTGTTGTAGGTGATGATATCTGGGGGATTGGGCAAATATGCGAAGGATCCTAAGTTTGTGACGGTGACAAAACACGAGATTGCCGATGCTTGTGAAATGACAATTGATGAGATGGAAAGTGCTGCTAGCAACTTACTGAGCGTCACGCTAGGCCACGGGCCGGAGGCAGAAGAGATGGGCTTGTGTCAGAGCAATGTTCGTGACTACAGCGATGAGGAGACGGACACGAGCAGCAAACGTGAGGAGGACCTCACCGACGAAATGTTCTACGTCTCAGTATTATAGTAAAGAACTCAAAATGAGCCCAACAAAGCTAAATCATGTAGAAAAAAATGAATCAATGAGGTAATTGTGCCTTTAAACTGGAGTATCTGTTGGCTTATGTGGACCGATTGCTTCACGCTGATGCATTTGGATCTTTTCATTTAGTTAGCAAACCTTGTCTTGGAAAATTTCCGGCAAGATCCAAATGTGATGACGTTACCGGCCCAAGTGTTTTCCTCTGAATCTATGCATGGACTGGACAGTGGCTCTTCAACCGTTGAAGATCCCTAAGCAACTAACCAGCCAAAGTCCACCTGGTCAAAGCCACAGAACATGTGGAGACACTGAGACACTGAACAGACCCATTCAGGACACGGTCACCATTTGAGTCAAGAATTGTACTCACTGTATATGAAGCAATTTCAATGGTAAAAGCTTCACAGCAATACCTCCTGGTTGGATAACTGAACTATATTCCAAGTCTTTCAAATTAAATTTCACAAAAATGCAAGTCATTATTGACTGAATGTCTCCTTTTTCCTACTTATTCAAATGTGGTGCGTCAAGGTCAGTCACGTTTGTTTGGCGCCATTGACGTCAAATCTTCTGCAATGCATCTTTATAAGGAACACACGTTTTAAGTTTGATCCTCTCACAAAGATATCGTTTTACTTGGAATATAACGCACAAATTGTATTAACTTCTCATTTGTGTATAATGGAAATAAATAACAGGTTTGAAACAAGGTGGGAAAATATTGTTTGGGTGAACATAAAGTGATATTTAGGTTTTGAAATACTGTATGTTCTTTTCACTAAATCTTCAGTGTTCAGTTATTAAAGTTATTAAAAAAACAAACATCAGAATGATAGTGTCTTTCACACAAGGTCTGGATGCGGGTGCAATGTGGCGCCCCATCCCTGAGAAAGCATGAGTGGGCCTCGCCGCTGGTGCTCGTCTGGAAGAAAAGCAGAGATCTACGGATTTGTGTCGACTATCGATGGCTGAATGCCCGTACGACTAAAGATGCCCATCCTTTGCCACACCAGGCAGATTGTCTTGCTGCGCTTGGCGGTAATGCCATATTCAGTGCTATGGATTTTACCTCAGGATTCTACAATATAGAGATGGCGGAGGAAGATAAAACGTTCACTGCGTTTACAACACCAATGGGACTCTATGAGTTCAACCGGTTCCCTCAAGGTTTGTGCAAAAGTCCTGCAAGTTTTATGCGTCTCATGATGGGCATATTCGGCGACCAGAACTTTCTTACCATACTCTGTTATCTAGACGACCTTCTAGTATTTGCACCAAATGAGAGTGTGATGATAATAATAATAATATATTTTATTTGTAAAGCACTTTTCATAAAATTAACTCAAAGTGCTACAGAAACCTAGCCTAGAAATCTAGACGCACCCTAGCGGCAGCAAAAATTATTTTGCAGCAAAGTGTGGTCTAGCAACTCTCCATAGACTTTTGAGCTGGAAAAACCAAAAACTGGTCCGGCCAATCAGATCGTGTAGAGTTGGTGGGCGGGCTTAATATATGACGGCAGAGTTATGACGGTTCAGCGTGATTTCCATAGGTGATTTCCCTCTGCTTGAAAACAAAGAAGATGCTGCTGGCGAACAGCGGTCTTTCCAATCGGCTTTGCCCGCGACTCTGGAGGACTTGGAGTTAAGAGAACGTCACTTAAAGGATTAGTTCACTTTTAAAAAAACTTTTGCTGATAATTTACTCACCCCCATGTCATCCAAGATGTCCATGTCTTTCTTTCTTCAGTCGAAAAGAAATTAAGGTTTTTGATAAAAACATTCCAGGATTTTTCTCCATATAATGGACATCAATGGTAGCCAAACGGTTCAAGGTCCAAAAGACAGTTTCAGTGCAAACTGCAAACTGTTCAAATGGTTTTAAATGACACCAGACGATGAATAAGGGTCTTATCAAGCGAAACGATCGCTCATTTAAAAAAAAAAATAACATCGTTTAAGTTTTATAAGCTCACATGCTCGCCTTTCTCTGTTCTGTGTAACTCTCCTGTTCGAACTCGTTCATCAAAATGAACAAATCTTTTTCCGAGTCAATTCGTTATCTCTGGATGTGCCGATTGCCTGAAGCCCTATAGAATCACGCCAATTCATTGGCTGATGGCGCTCGCGCAAAGCTGGCTCCGCCCCGACGCTCTTACGTCGTAGCATGATGAACGCGCGCGCGCCATCTTCTCCTCAGATTTCTCGGTCACATCTCGCCCTTCGTTTGGTTTTTCTGAGCCCGAATTCTTCAAATTCAACTTCAGCTTTCGTCTCGACACTTCAGCGACTGGTATAAGTGGAACTCTGTTCTCCTTACAGTGAAGTGTCATGGATTATCGACGCTGCTCTCCGCCATGCGTTCGTTTTATCTCGAACGACGACCCTCACAGTAAGTGTGTTAAATGTATGGGTTTTTCGCATGCGCGTGAGGCTGTATTAGGATTGTCAAAATGTAAATTTTGTGACAATCTCCTTCTCAAAACCCTCCGCTCTAGACTCGCGGTTTTTGAGAAGGAGTCATTCGTTCCCCCCCGTCGCGCTCCCGAGACTGCTGAGGCCTCTCGTGGATCCGCGGCCTGGGGCTCGGATGTTGAGCTCGAGGATATTGAGTATGAGCAGAAGTTCCACGCCAGTCTCGCTAAGTCTCAGTCGGCCGCGTTCAGGCAGTTTATGCCCAGGAGGGTCAGAGGGCCAAGAGACTCCAACCCTTCCCCTTCTCAAACCCGAGAACGCTCTGCTCATAGGGCTGAATTCCCTACTAGCAGGAGTGACCCGGCTCACCACCCTCCAACTACGGTCTGGGGAGCCCGAGGTCGTCCATTTCCCCGCCAGCGCCCTCACAAGCGCCTTCAGCTGAAGCGGTCCAACAAATCGGCCGCTCCAGCCTCCTCGAGCCGTTCCTGACCCGCAGGTCAGAAGGAGGAGAGCCTCACCAGATCTACGAGGTTGGGACAGACCGCGCAAGCGTTTCTGCCCTCCTCCACCCGGCTCTCCTCATCCAACCCTGTCACCTTCGCCACCCAGCGTGTTCGAAGTGCAGGTCCTGTTTCACTCTCTTCACCCAGTCCGGCGCAGGAGGAAGGAGACGCGTCTTGCTTTCTCCCCTCGCTCCCGGTGCACGTTACACCCGTAAATCGCTTCCTCGGAGGCACAGTTCGTTTTCCTCTGGAGCAGGCGGACCCAGTTACTTCTATCCAGGTGGTGGTACCCCCCAGTACGTGTCAGGACGCCAAGCGCTCTCCTCCACGGTCATCCGCGCCTCCCCATGGGAACCAGCGCGACACCATACCTCAGGTATGTCCCTTGCACTGCAACACTCCTCTCCCTCTATCACATTTCGTTCAAGAATGGGAGCGTTTACCAGGGGTATCGCCTTGGATCCTTCGCACAGTTCGGCTCGGCTACACGCTTCAGTTTTGTCGCAACCCCCCCTGCTTCAACGGGGTCTTTCCTACTGTAGTCGACAGCGCCGCTCAGGCTTCTGTACTACAGCAGGAGATTTCATCCCTTCTGCTGAAGGGGGCGATAGAAGAGATTCCTTCGGGGGAAGTCGAACAGGGCTTCTACAGCCGTTACTTCCTGGTCCCGAAGAAGGGGGGCGGCCTAAGGCCGATACTAGATCTTCGCCGGTTGAATTTCTCTCTTTACAAGGGAAAATTCAAAATGTTGACGCTGAAGGCCATCATTTCTCATATCCGGCTGGGGGACTGGTTCGTGACGGTAGACCTCAAGGATGCTTATTTCCACATCCAGGTCGTACGGCGACACAGGAAGTTCCTCAGGTTCGCCTTTGGAGAAAAAGCGTACCAGTACAGGGTCCTCCCCTTTGGCCTCGCTCTAGCGCCAAGGACGTTCACAAAGTGTATGGATGCTGCTCTGGCCCCGCTGCGGCTCCAGGGCATCCATACACTCAACTACCTGGACGATTGGCTCCTTTTAGCCCACTCCAGAGAGTTGGTGACTCACCACAGGGACATTGTCCTCCGTCATATTCAGTCTCTCGGTTTGAGGTTGAATACGGAGAAGAGCGTTCTTACTCCAGCTCAGAACACGGTTTTCTTGGGGGTACGCATGGACTCCGTTCTTATGCAGGCCCGTTTGGCTCCTGCACGGATTTCCAGTCTGGTGACATGTCTGTCCCGTTTTGCATTAGGCCAGCATGTTTCCGTGAGCACCTGCCGCAGACTTCTGGGCCTTATGGCCGCGGCCTCCCCTGTGCTACCTCTGGGGCTACTCCACATGAGACCTTTTCTGTGGTGGATGAAGCTCTCAGGGGCTCGGCCCACGGGGCCAGCCCTTCGCCTATTAAAGGTGTCGCGCAGTTGCTTTCACGCCCTGTCAATCTGGCGGGACCCCCTCTTCCTTCAGAAAGGAGTCGGTATGGGTGCGGTATTCCGTCGCCAGATGGTTACGACGGATGCCTCTCTGACCGGCTGGGGAGCGGTTTTCGAGGGCAGGCCAGCGTGTGGGGTTTGGACTGGCGAGACCCTCTCGTGGCACATAAACAGCTTGGAGCTGAGGGCTGTCTTCCTGGCTCTTTGCCACTTTCTCCCTTTCCTCGAAGGACACCATGTCATTGTCAGAACGGACAATATGGCAGTAGTGTCCCATGTAAACAGACAGGGGGGTTCACGATCGCGCACCCTAGACAGGCATGCGCGTCACCTTCTCCTGTGGTCCCAGGACAAGTTCCTCTCTCTGAGAGCAGTTCATGTCCCAGGGATTCTGAACCTCGCAGCAGATTTTCTGTCGAGGCAGAAGCTCAGGTCTGGGGAATGGATGTTGAACCGCCAGACGGTGGCCCTGATCTGGGAGGTGTTCGGGAAAGCGGAAGTGGACCTCTTTGCATCTCAGGAGTCGTCCCAATGCCCGCTTTGGTTCTCTCTGAGCCCTCCAGCTCCGCTGGGGATAGATGCGTTCGCCCACCCTTGGCCGATGCAGAAACTCTATGCCTTCCCGCCCATCAAGCTGATCCAGGCGGTTCTGTCCAGAGTGAGGGAGAGCGGAGTCCGCCTCCTTCTGGTAGCCCCATTCTGGCCGTCCCAGCCATGGTTTTCGGAGCTGATCCCTCTGTTGGAATCCTCCCCCTGGGAGATACCGGTCAGGGAGGACCTGCTTTCCCAGCTTCAGGGCAGGATATGGCATCCTCGCCCCGACATTTGGAAGCTGTACGTTTGGCCTATCAGAGGCTGTTACCTTTAAGCTTTGATCTCCCAACCGACGTTCAGGAGACCATTGCGAATGCTAGCGCCCCTTCGACGAGGAGGCTATATTCCTCCAAGTGGAGGGTGTTCGAGGCATGGTGCTTAGCACATGATAGGAACCCAGTTAGCTGCCCAGTAGGCACAGTACTGGAATTCCTGCAGGAAAAGTTTGCTTCCGGAGCGGCCGCTACCACTCTCAGAGTATATGTCGCAGCTATTGCCGCTCATAGAGAATCAGATGAGATTCCCTTGGGGAAACTGAGGTTAGTTTCGGCGTTCATGCGTGGGGTTAGGCG